TGTAACAGCGGGCGACAGCCCTGATATAACCTTCAGTACAGAACCCTTGTACCTGTAACAATGGGCCACAGTTCTGATATAACCCTCAGTACAGAACTCTTGTACCTGTAACAGTGGGCCATAGTCCTGTTATAACTCTCCGTACAGCACTTTTGTACCTGTCACAGTGGGCCATAGTCCTGTTATAACTCTCAGTACAGAACTTTTGTACCTGTAACAGTAGGCCACAGTCCTGACATAACCCTCAGTAGAGAACTTTTGCCGCAGCCACTATCTCCTTTTATCAAGGTGTTCACACCAGACTCCAGCTGGAAGGACAGATCTGAAAAAGTGAGATAATGTCAACAAATCTTTTGGAATATTAAATACAACATACAAATAAGTGCTTCGAAAATAAAATATATAATATAATTATAGCCAACTATACAGGAATAATTTAATCTTGCTTGTAACACGCATTTTCATTGGCTTAAAAATTTATGTTATCAGCGCATAAAGTAAAAAAGTGACGTTGCCGTTTGTAACGTGGATTTCCACAGGGATTGTGTATAGTAAATTAAATTATAAACACAAAAAACCGGAGTGTACTCCAGTTTATGATGAGAGTACACTCCGTTTTTGTGTGTTATAACTCCATAACATAAAATTATATTCAAGTTATTCCTTAAATACACAAGAAAGACACCAAAATGTAAGTGATTGAGAGTACTGAAAGGAGATCCTGAGTCACTATAACACTTACTTCTACAGAGAATGACATGGCTGTTAGGAGGTCCGTAGGTCAGGTCCTGTATGGTGAGGGCCCTCTCACTCATCTGTACACTGCCAACTGATGCCTCATCTTCACCTCGATTGCTGGGTACATTAGATATGTCTGATAAACTAATAGCTGCATCCCTAGAGAAAGCAGTAGGAAGGCAGTGATCTAATGTCAAGCAATGATATATTGTGTAAAGGGATATACAGTATAAAGTCTGTGAGAAATGCTCTAGCCACTACTACTAATACATGCTAATCACATGCTGTCACTTGGTCAAGGTCATACCTAATAACTTCAACAAATACAGTGCAAGATAAAAGATGAGGTAATCACTCTTAAATGTCACATTTAGAAATGATAAACAGCATTCTATATGTATCACAAGATGAATGGGTCTAATACAAATTTCACAGTAATTTTTTATATAATTTTTGTGAGTACAAAGCTATATGCAAGATTCATGAGGCCCACCCCACTGAAAATATCACATTAATTTGTTTAAACTGAAACCAATGCATCATATTTGTGGGTATGAAACAAGATAATGCAACTCATTCATACCTCAGGTAGATGATAATAATACAATGTACAGCTATCTACAGTAAAGTGTGTAACCTTGACACTTAGAATGTTTAACCTCGACAGGATGGTGTGTGTAACCTTGACACCGAATATGTTTAACCTCGACAGAATGGTGTGTGTAACCTTGACTAATATTATGATTTGAAACCTTGACCCATAGAATGTTTGTAACCTTGACTAAAATTATGATTTGTGACCTTGACCCTCAGAATGTGTGTAACCTTGACTCTTAGTATGTTTAACCTCTACAGTATGGTGTGTGTAAACTTGACAGTATGGTGTGTGTATCCTTGACAGTATGGTGTCTGTAACCTTGACAGTATGCTGTGTGTAACCTCGACAGTATGGGGTGTGTAACCTTGACAGCATGGTGTGTGTAACCTTGACTAATATTATGATTTGTAACCTTGATCCACAGAATGTTTGTAACCTTGACTAATAAAACAAGATAATGCAACTCATTCATACCTCAGTTAGATGATAATAATGCAATGTACAGCTATCTAAAGTAAAGTGTGTAACCTTGACGCTTAGTATGTTTAATCTTGACATTATTGTATGTGTAACCTTGACAGTATGATGTGTGTAACCTTGACTAATATTATGTATGGTGTGTGTAACCGTGACACTTAGTATGTTTATCCTCGACAGTATGGTGTGTGTTACCGTGACAGTATGGTGTGTGGAACCTTGACAGTATGGGGTGTGTAACCTTGACAGCATGGTGTGTGTAACCTTGACTAATATTATGATTTGAAACCTTGACCCATAGAATGTTTGTAACCTTGACTAATATTATGTATGGTGTGTGTAACCGTGACACTTAGTATGTTTATCCTCGACAGTATGGTGTGTGTTACCGTGACAGTATGGTGTGTGTTACCGTGACAGTATGGTGTGTGTAACCTTGACACTTAGTATGTTTAACCTTGACAGTATGGTGTGTGTTACCTTGACACTTAGTATGTTTAACCTCGACAGTATGGTGTGTGTAACCTTGACACTGAATATGTTTAACCTCGACAGTATGGTGTGTGTAACCTTGACAGTATGGTGTGTAGCCTTGAATCACATTTTGATGTGTGTAATCTTGATCTACAATATGACGTGTAACCCTGACCCAGTTTGTTGTGTCCCCTTGACCTAAAATATGATTGTAACCTAGACCTACAATGTGATGTGTTACCTTAGCCTAGTTTGTGTAACCTTGAAACAAATAGAATGTATAAATTTGACCCAAAGTATGATGTGTAACCTTGACCCACAGTATGATATGTATAACCTTGACCTACTGAATGTGTAACCTTGATATAGAATATGATGTGTAACCTTGATCTACAGTATGTATAACCGTGACCCACATCATGTGTAACTTTGACATTAAATATTATGTGTAACCTTGACCTACAATATATGTAACCTTGACCTAAAATATAATGTATAACTTTGACCCAAAGTATGATGTGTAACCTTGACCAACAGTATAATATGTGTTTTCTTGGCCTACAGTATGTGTAAACTGGACCTACAAAAGGTGTATAACCTTGACCAACAAGATAATTTGTATTAACTTGACCTACAGTAGATGTGTAATATTGATCTAGAGTATGTAAAACCTGGACCTACAGTATTATGTGTGTTACTTGACTAAAAGTATAACATGAAACCTTGATCCACAGTATGAAGTGAAACCTTGTACTAAAATATGGTGTAACCTTAACCTACGGTATGATATCTAACCTTGACCTACAGCATGTTTTTTTCATTGACCAACAATATGATTTGAGCAGCCTTGACCCTCAGTACGTGAATAACCTTGACCTTCAATACAACATAACCTTCACTTACAGCAGGGGTGTAACCTTGACTTATACATATATGATGATGTTTTACCTTGACCTAAATTAGAATACTTTGTTATATCTTTACAGCACAGAGTATGTAACATTTACCCACAGTATGATGGGTGTAACCTTGACTAATATTATGATTTGAAACCTTGACCCATAGAATGTGTGTAACCTTGACTAATATTATGATTTGTAACCTTGACCCATAGAATGTGTGTAACCTTGACAAATATTATGATTGTAACCTTGACCAATAGAATGTGTGTAACCTCGACAAATATTATGATTTGTAACCTTGACCCACAGCATGTTTGTAACCTTGACTAATATTATCATTTGTAACCTTGACCCATAGAATGTTTGTAACCTTGACTAATATTATGATTTGTGACCGTGAACCATAGAATGTGTGTAACCTTGACAAATATTATGATTTGTAACCTTGACCCACAGCACGTTTGTAACCTTGACAAACATTATGATTTGTAACCTTGATCCACAGCACGTTTGTAACCTTGACAAATATTATGATTTGTAACCTTGACCCATAGAATGTTTGTAACCTTGACTAATATTATGATTTGTGACCTTGACCCACAGCATGTGTGTAACCTTGACTAATGTTATGATTTGTAACCTTGATCCACAGAATGTTTGTAACCTTGACTAAAATTATGATTTGTGACCTTGACCCTCAGAATGTGTGTAACCTTGACTAATATTATGATTTGTAACCTTGACCCACAGCATGTGTGTTACCTTGACTAATGTTATGATTTGTAACCTTGACCCATAGAATGTGTGTAACCTTGACTAATATTATGATTTGTGACCTTGACCTACAGCATGATGTGTGTAATATTCACAAACAGTTTAATGTAAATTTGACTCATTGTTCTAATATGTGTAACCTCGACACAGGGTATGGTTTTTAACGGTGACCAACGTTTTTTTTAACCTTCCTAGTTTAATGTGTTGGACCTTTACTGACAGTTTGCTATGTTACACAACTACCTTTGACATCACTGAGTGTAAAATACACCATTCAAGCAGGATGTACTGAATATTGTAATCAGTATCCAAGCACCATGCACCAAGATACAGGTCAGGCAAGCACATTGATATAATATAGTTTGCAGTGAATACGTCCATATCTATATGAATCCTCATCAAATAAGTTATCTTTGTCAAATTGAGCATGATCTGTATTGAAACAAGAGTAACGTGGGGCGGAACAATAGACGCTCGTCGAATGCCATATAGTGTTATATACTTTCTTACATTGAAATAAGATCTGCATCATTCTAAGAGTGGTAAGTTGACATGCTATAAAAAATGTAGGAGAAAATCTCCAAACAAAAAATAAAATACTGAAATGAACAAAGGGCAATAACTTTTGCAAAATTGTCGAATCGAAATTCTTTTAAGGGAGACACAACTTCATATCATGATTATAATGTATACCAAGTTTCAAAGAGATCCGTTGAAAAATGTAGGAGGAGATTGCCGGACAAAAATCAAATACTGAAATAAACAAAGGGCAATAACTTTTGCAAAAGTTGTCGAATCGAAATTCTTTTCAAGGAAACACAACAACATATCATGATTATTTGGCTTAATAAGTTTCAAAGAAATCCGTCAAAAAATGTAGGAGAAGATGTCCGGACAAAATATCAAATACTGAAATGAACAAAGGGCAATAACTTTTGCAAAAATCGTCGAATCAAAATTCTTTTAAGGGAGACACAACTTCATATCATGATTGTATGTATACCAAGTTTCAAAGAGATCAGTCGAAAAATGTAGGAGGAGATTGCCGGACAAACAAGTTTACGCCGGACGGACGACGCCATACCAAAATCCTCCTGTCAAATTTGACGGGCGTATAAAAATTACAAAAGTATGATACCAACCCATCATTGCTGGGGTCCAGGAAGTTGTAAACAGTGTCATCCTCAGCTCTCAGTGTGCCCAGGGCTTCCATCAGCTCCCCCACCCTGTAACACAGTATCTAGTTCATCCCGGTGTTGATAACTGATGAGGTACGTGTCAATGCATACAGTTGTCTCTTTCAAGTTTTATTCTTATCCATTAATTAAGAAAATTCATAAAAGATCAAACATAATCAGTATCTCTCAACACAGGACAAGTTTTAAATCTATATAGTGACACAATAGAGGTGAGAGGGCTTAACTCTTTGTCAAGTGAATCTGATTTAGAAAACAAGGTCACAAAGTTGTGAGTGTTGGTCAAGGTCATCCAAAGAATGGTTAAATATTTTAGTTTTCATCAAGGCCATCAAAAGGAATTACAGATTTGATATTTTTATTAAGATCAACAAGTTTCAAGGTCAGGAGACTAAATGATTGTACAGACAGGTATGATTGGTTTTCATAGACTTTATGTGCACTCACTTTATGGCATTCCATGCCATTTCTGCCACCTGTACAGACAGGTATGATTGGTTTACATAGACTTTATGTGTGTACTCACCTATGGGCTTTACCTGCCATTTCTGACACCTGTACAGACAGGTATGAATGGTTTACATAGACTTTATGTGTGTACTCACCTAATGGCATTCCCTGCCATTTCTGACACCTGTACAGACAGGTATGATTGGTTTACATAGGCTTTATGTGTATACTCATCTAATGGCATTCCCTGCCATTACTGACACCTGTACAGACAGGTATGAATGGTTTACATAGACTTTATGTGTGTACTCACCTAATGGCATTCCCTGCAATTTCTGACACCTGTACAGACAGGTATGATTGGTTTACATAGACTTTATGTGTATACTCATCTAATGGCATTCCTTGCCATTTCTGACACCTGTACAGACAGGTATAATTGGTTTACATAGACTTTATGTGTGTACTCACCTATGGGCTTTACCTGCCATTTCTGACACCTGTACATACAGGTATGAATGGTTTACATAGACTTTATGTGTGTACGCACCTATGGGCATTCCCTGCCATTTCTGACACCTGTACAGACATGTCTATCAGTTTGGTGAAGCAGTTGATCAGGTATATGATCACAAATGAATTCTGAAACATTATCAGGATATTTAACAGGAATAACAATTAGAGGAGCAGCTCCATAATAAAACGTGTTTCTGAGCAAGTAAGTCTCAATAAATGGCAATGGTTAAGTGTAGATGGAACATTTTAGGTGGTATAATAGAATCTTCCCCTACCTTGAGTGTGAATAAAAATCTTCGACCCGCAGGATGATATTCTGGATTGTCTTACCTGAGGTTTTGCTGAGGGTAAGACATTCGAGAATATCATGGCGAGGGTGACACACCTGTGGAGGGTGGGAGAATGTCATATGATCCACTGTTCCATAAATGATATGCAATTTCTCCGTATCTCAACAAAGTCTCCATTCATGGATTTCAATTGCAGAACAGAATGCTGGCATTTACACACAAAGACTAAATCAATGTTGTGTAGCAAATACATAAGATAAAGAAATCAAACTTAATTACAAATTGTAAATAGGAGAGAAATTGATTCAATAATTACACTTTCTTATCTTATATTATCAAACATAACAATATATTATAAAATTACCTGGCTAATTAGGGCCGCGAGATCCGAAGCAGATAGATTATCATAAGAACCTTTGAAGATGGGCAAGGCCAGCAACAGGTAACTCAGAATACTTCCCAGATAATCACTCAGGTTTATAGACACTGTAGGGACAAATCCAGCAGGTTATATCAGTTAAAGTATAATTCAGGTCAAGAACGTGTGGACATCCTAGATGCCAATATTGTGATAAACCTTCATTACAATTTTAAGTAAGTTTTTCTATATTATCTACAATGTTTTCTATATATATTGCTTGATAATTTCAAGAAATTTATTTGATATAGTATATATCCTCAATGTTCATTTTTTTTAAACTAATGAAACGGAAACTTTACTTACTATTAAGAAAATATTTTCTGATGACTAATTTCTTTTGGACGGTGAGGAGATTGTCGAGATGAGTATCAGTTTTGTTCCTTTCTATAGCACCAGCTTTATAGAAGGCTGCAGACTCAGCATTCACCCTCATCTGCATGTGTTTAAACCTACAGACAACAGAAATCTAAGTGTTCTATCAAATCTCCCTGTTTGGCCCACATTCCACATCTGGTAGAGATCAACTTTAATGACACCGACAATCCATGTGGAACACTCATACCTTATGTTACAGTTGTGTGACTGCACAACGCACCAAACATACCGTGCGCACATCGTGCATACATCGTTCACACACCGTCCGCATATCGTCCACACGAGGTGCGCACAACTGGGCGATTTAACAATCGTTCGCCCCGTTGTGCGCTTCTCTCCGCACAACTGTGCGATTTGGTACAATTTGATGATCAAATTGTAATTTTACATGTGACGATTAAGGTCGTTTAAACAAGAGGCCCAATGGGCCTGCATCGCTCACCTGGTATTAATCTCACACTTGTTATCTTAAAAGTGGACTAAAATACAGCTACAGGCAGAATATCAGTGTTGGATTCATAAGAACCTATTAAAAGATTTAAACATATGACGCCTGTGACCTTGAATGTTGAACAAGGACATTAGGTTTAACAGGGTTAATATTCTTCCAACCCAGCATGCTTCTGGCAAAATATCATTACCCTGGACCTTTTGGTTATACAGAACAAATCATTTAAAGAGTTAAACATATATTGACCACTGTGACCTTGAATTTGGGCGAAGGTCATTCACTTGGTAGTCCTTCATCCCAGCATGTTAATGGCCATATATCATCACCCTTGACCTTTTGCTTTTTAAGAAGAAGTCATTCAATGTTTTTTAAAACATATTTGACACCTGTGACCTTGAATAGATATGTCAAGGTCATTCATTTGAACAAACTTGGTAGTCCTTCATCCCAGCATGTTACTGGCATTATCCTAGGCCTCTTGGTTATTCAGAAGAAGTTGTTTTAATGTTTAAAACATATTGAACCCCTGTGACCTTGGAACAAAGATAAAGATCACTTATTTGAACAAACTTTGTAGCCCTTCATCCCAGCATGCTACTAGCCAAATATCATCACCCTAGGCCTATTGGTTATTCAGAAGAAGTTGTTTAAAGGTTTTAAACATATTTGCCCTCTGTGACCTTGAATATAAGTCAAGGTCATTTATTTGAACAAACTTGGTAGCCCTTCATCCCAGCATGTTACTGGCCAAATATCATCACCTTATGCCTCTTGGTTATTCAGAAGAAGTTGTTTAAAAGTTTTAAACATATTTGACCCCTGTGACCTTGAATAAAAGGCAAGGTCATTTATTTGACAAACTTGGTAGCCCTTCATTTCAGCATGTTACTGGCCAAATATCATCATCCTTAGGCCTCTTGGTTATTTAGAAAAAGTTGTTTAAAGCAAAAAGTTGACGCCGGACGGACGCCGGACGGACGCCGGACGCCGCACCATGCCATAAAGCTCAGCTAAAAACACCGAAAACAGCAATTCTAAATTTAAGAAAGTATAGACAGAAAGATAAGCTTGTAAATGAAGCTAGAATAGGGAAACATACTAATAAAATCAAGTTTATATGTTTAAACACCAAACCGTATAAATTGTTAAGCCATTCCTCATTTTATACCAACCACGATTGCTATCCCACAACGTTCATCGATCGTCCCCACAAATGTGCGCAAGCAATGATCGTCCAACTGTTTATCCTTCGCACTTTGTAAACACAACTGTACACTACATCTGACACATCATGTGACACACCATGTGGCACTACATCTGATACATCATGTGACATACCATGTGGCACTACATCTGATACATCATGTAACACACCATGTGGCACTACATCCGGTACATCATGTAACACACCACGTGGCACTACATCTGACACATCATGTAACACAACATGTGGCACTACATCTGATACATCATGTAACACACCATGTGACACTACATCTGACACATCATGTGACACACCATGTAGCACTACATCTGATACATCATGTGACACACCATGTGGCACTACATCTGACACATCATGTAACACACCATGTGGCACTACATCTGACCCATCATGTAACACCCCAATTAAAACACCATGTGGCACAACATCTGACACATCAGCGAAACTCTACATCTGACACATCATGTAACACACCATGTGGCACTACATCTGATAGATCATGTAACACACCATGTGGCTCTACATCTGACACATCATGTAACACACCATGTGGCACTACATCTGACACATTATGTAACACACCATGTGACACTACATCTGACACATCATATAACACACCATGTGGCACTACATCTGATAGATCATGTACCACACCATGTGGCTCTACATCTGACACATCATGTAACACACCATGTAACACTACATCTGATACATCATGTAACACACCATGTGGCACTGCATCTGACACATCATGTGATACACCATGTGGCACTACATCAGATACATCATATGACACACCATGTGACACTACATCTGACACATCATATAACACACCATGTGGCACTACATCTGACACATCATGTAACACACCATGTGGCACTACATCTGATACATCATGTAACACACCATGTGGCACTACATCTGACACATCATGTGACACACCATGTGGCACTACATATGACACACCATGTAACACTACATCTGATATATCATGTAACACACCATGTGAAACACCATGTGGCACTACATCTGATACATCAGCGAAACTCTACATCTGACACATCATGTAACACACCATGTGGCATTACATCTGACACATAGTGTAACACACCATGTGGCACTACATCTGATATATCATGTAACACATCAAGTGACTCTACATCTGACACATCATGTAACACACCATGTGCCACTACATCTGATACATCACGTAACACACCATGTGACTCTACATCTGACACATCATGTAACACACCATGTGGAACTAAATCTGACACATCATGTAACACACCATGTGGTACTATATCTGGTACATCATGTGACACTACATCTGACACATCATGTAACACACCATGTGACACTTCATCTGATACATCATGTAACACACCATGTGATACTACATCTGATACATCATGTAACACACCATGTGACACTTCATCTGATATATCATGTGACACACCATGTGACATACCATGTGGCCCTACATCTGACACATCATGTAACACACCATGTGGTACTATATCTGGTACATCATGTGACACTTCATCTGACACATCATGTAACACACCATGTGGAACTAAATCTGACACATCATGTAACACACCATGTGGAACTAAATCTGACACATCATGTAACACACCATGTGCCACTACATCTGATACATCACGTAACACACCATGTGACTCTACATCTGACACATCATGTAACACACCATGTGGCACTATATCTGGTACATCATGTGACACTACATCTGACACATCATGTAACACACCATGTGGCACTACATCTGATACATCCGCGAAACTCTACATCTGACACATCATGTAACACATCAAGTGACTCTACATCTGACACATCATGTAACACACCATGTGGCACTACATCTGACACATCATGTAACACACCATGTGGCACTACATCTGACACATCATGTAACACACCATGTG